CCGTCGTGATGAACTGCTTCACAAAGCCTCGTCAGACTCTCAGCGAGCCAGGATGGTTTCTATGGCAGTGGGTTTACCCGCTTACCAGGAAGATCACCGACAAGATGGATTGACATAGTGGCTGCAGCAATGGGCACAAACAGTCATTTTGAGGGCGATAGAGGACCAGACGCTTTTCTATTGTACACAGGGTTGTTGTGAGTCAGAACCAACGCGAGAGCACCCGCCAAAACAAGGCAGCCTACTCACGGAAGCTGTGGCGACACAGTGGATTGAAAGTTGGAGTACTCACTACAAAGTCTGAGGTTCAAAGTCACCAACTGCTCTTTGGGAGAGAGACGCTTTCTACCTGTTAGCTCCCATAACGGAGCAATTCTACGATGTCTTACAGAGTGACTATGAGGGTAGTGAGATAGAATGAGAGACCCAGTCACTAACACTAAGTTCCTCGGTATTGGTACCTTTATCCCCAAAATGGAGATAATTATATCTCATTACCAAGGTAATTTTGAGGATAAAAACACACAGTTCTTATGTAACACTGTTAGTAGAATACATGACATACGTGTATGTATAGTAAACTCTTACTACACGTGACTTTCTTTACAGTGTGATTTTGGATTCCTCTAACTACTACGGATATTATAGATACTTGCTCTCAAGAATACTAAAAATGGCTACGATAGCCCTATGTTTTCTGCTCCACTTTCTGTGGTGCTCCGTGCAGCAGTGAGGACTTTGTTCCTGCTGCTGTGACTCAGTGGGCACGCGGACATAAGGAAATACCTGAGCTAACATCTAGGGTTTCATGGAGGCAGGTAAATTCTTCATACGCTCTCGTCTTGTCATTCAGATACATTTTTATCTCATAACGATATTGTTAACATTTTGATGTCTAATTTCTCAGACCTTTAAAATATATGAATCAATTTAGAGACTCACAATTATATTATTTATACCAGTAGGAACCTGCTTATTTTCATTTAAAATTCATTGTGAGCATCGTGAAATATTCTTTCAATGTAACTTAAAATGAATTGTACTGCTGCATTTTTCTTAAATTGAGACATTTATTTTAAAATATTACATGATCTACAGTTCTTCATCTTACTCTTCAAAAAAACTCTTTAAGGATTTAATTTTACATCTTTCAAGGTGTTTCTACAAGTAAAATACTCTTGATATTCTAGTTCATAACGGCTTTAAACTCAACAAAATATTGTATACACCTTTCTAAATCAATAAATATAAAAGTATTATAAAGAGTAAAATTATATTCTATGTTGTTATTATTTATCTCCTTAACCTGCTATCATTTTCAGTCTTTTAAGTTTTCACTATTATAAAACATTGTAATGCACATTTACATATATAATTATATTTGTACATAGACAGTCTAATCTCCTTCAGATGATTGATGAGTAAAGAAAATGCAAGAGCAAATGGTAAGCACATTTTTAACATTGTTGCAACTAGCCCTCTAGAAATTTGAAATTTTATATTGTCTACCTAAACACACGAGATGTCTCATTTCCCCAGAACTAAGCTATGACTTTTTCTTAATGCCTTGGTGTATTTAATAGAATTGTATAAACTTCCCTAAATCCTTACTGGAGTTAGATAGAATGTAAATTAAAGAGCCACATATTGGACAACACAAGACAATTAATAAGTCTTCCTGTAGAGTGTCTCCACTTTTTAATGCAGCTTTATTTCCATGGAGAAAGTTTCCTAGTTCTAGACAACTGACAAAAATGTCAGTTTTATAAACTTTTCTGATTCAATGACTGAAGTTCTCAGTAAATATTTATTCTACACCCGTTATAGGCAAAAGGTCTCAATGCTCGACTACTATGAATCTGTGGTTCATTTTCACATTTTTGGAAAAGTAAAATATCATCTCAGTGGGTTACTTTTCAAGGACTTTGCTGAAGACTTTCAGAAAACTTGAGGGCATACTGCTTCCTTCTAGACATGCTATGTAAGATGCATTTATTTTGTCTGCCATTGTGCTTATCTGGGACCTCATTTTCTGAAACTGTGCCGTAGCTCTGTGGCTTGTAGTCCTGAGGGAAATATATCCACCCACCAGAATACCAGCCTCTTAGTTTTGAAAATGGAGTGAATCACAAATTTATACCCAAGTCTTCAATTTGTAAAAAGATAGTGCCTAGATAAAATGAAAGGAAAAAAAGGTAAGTGGATGAAAAACCCTTGTCCTTTTCTACAGCCAAGGGTTGTGTGGGGGTTCAGCTGCTCTTCTGGGGTATTGACATGTTCAAATGATGAATAGTTATTTAAAAATTATCTAATAATTGTGACCATCAGGAAAGCACAGAGCGCACATGGCATTCTCTAAAGGACTGTTTCCTTAGTTGATGACACACCGTGGCAACGCTCAGTTAACAAGCGATGCCACCCGTTTGAGTATCATAAGCTCGCTGCGATACACCCCAGAGCTTTGAAGACTTGCTCGTTGAAAGTGGCTCCTCTCTCCCTTCATCGGAATGAATTCCTGGTCTTTAGAACGGGCACCTTCGTTTTATCTTTTCACATGATAGAAGTCGCGTTTTTGACGAAACCTATCTTAACATCATACCATTACTTCAGCATGGACGTCTTAGGAGCCATCGTGCTAGGTTATCACCGCAAAGTAGCCCCCATCCCAGGGTCTTTTGCTTGGCGTTTCTTCAGAAGGAGCGCACTATCCCATTTCTCTGCGCATTTTCCAACGGTGTGCTGCATCGAGCCCATCCCCGCCCTGCCTCAAAAGAGCCGAAATCACTGCCATTGCGTCCATTCCAGCTCACTGCAGCCCTACAGGGCAGGGCAGAAATGGCCCCGTGGTCGTTCCGGAGACTGGCACTGTTCACGGGAGAAGACAGCCCCGTCTTTCTTTTGAGGAGAGGCTGCTGGATTCAAAGTGCGGACTCTTGAGCTAGTTAGCCGCCCAAAGTGTAACCCCCTACGCCACCAGAGACTAGAGCATTAAAAAATATTTTCAGAAATGTGTTTATTGGCGGACAGATTTATGAATTAAAAACAATTTAGCTATTTGTAGTTTGTCCTTTAGATAAATAAGAGGGTGATTTCCCCGCCCCCCCACTTAATTATTGCTTTAAACACTATAAAGTCATGGATGCGGACTGCATGATATCCTAAAGATCTTGGTAAAATTAAAAAAAATTGAGTTTACATATGAATTCACTGACAATCATCACCACAATCCGTTTCAGAACATTTTCTTCATTCTTGTTTATTAGCTCCCCATTTTCTCCCATCCTTCCCTGCCATTCCCCAAAGGAAACATTAATCCAGTTTGGATAGATTTACTTATCCTGGTGTTTGTACACAGAGAAACATTAAAAGCAAACAAATAAACAAACAACAAAATAGCTAACAAGAATAACAAGATAAAACCCTCAGTAGAAACAAAAGCAGAAAATATTAAAAACGAGAACAAATGTAAATGAATAATAAGGTTGCTAAACTTTAACCTAACTCCGTCTGCAACTCCACTTTCCAGTGCATTCTGCATGTTAACAAGGCTTTTCATATCCCCGGCCCATGGTCAGAGGGGATTCCCCAGGGGCTTAATCCAAGTGTATTTTCCCTTCCTTTTTTTTTTTTTAACAGAAACAGCTTTAAAATGAGTGAAAAGGGATATACATGCTATTACATTTTAACCTCTGTCTGCCTTAATCAAGTTTACAATGCTCTCTGTCTGATAACAGGGCTATTTACATCCCTCAGCTACGACTGGAGGGGTTTCACTAGGGCAGTGGTTCTCAACCTTCCGAAGGTCGTCACCCTTGAATACAGTTCCTCATGTTGTGGTGACCTCTCAACCATAAAAGTATTTTTGTTGCACTTTATAACTACAATTTTGCTACTATTATGAAGCAGGTTCAACCCTGAAAGGGGTCACGACCCACAAGTTGAGAACCACTGCACTAGAGGCTTAATCCACGGGTGGACCTTGCACATGGGTTTTGGCTTTCCACTGTGATCCACAGCCTTCTGCAAACCAGTTCTTCATAATTTCAACTCTGATGGCATTCCCCCCTTTAGATTTGGATTATATTATTTGCAATTTTTGGATCACACAGGCTAGTTTGAGTCTTCCATGTTGACTTGGTTGACATTTCACTTAGATGGCTGCTTGTTTGAAAACAAGCCTTTAAGACCCCACATGCTTTTCTTTCTGATTGTAGGGCACCATCTAATTTCTTTATCACACTTTGCTATAGCACCTATATCTTCAGTGATCTCTTCATGTGAGTGAGCATCAAACAGGACCATGCCATAAGAACGAAGTATCCTTGGATTAGGGCTAGAATTAAGCAGAAGTACAAAATCCATTCATGAATCTATGGTTTGTATCTGTCTCTGATTCACCTTAGAGACACTGGTCATTTTTATGTTAGAGAACAATATCAATCATCCCCTTAAGGCATCACTGCTATTGCTATCAAGTGAATGCTAAATTACAGCCACCCAAGAGGGTAGGGTAGAACTCCCCTGTGAGTCTCTGAGTCCTTAAGTCTTCATAGGAGTAGAAAGCCTTACCTTTCCCCTGTGGGCCTGGCTGGTAGTTTCACACTGCTGACCTTGTGGTTAGTAGCCTAATGTGTAATCACTACACATTGATAGTCTCATCTGTTTAGCCAATGGTTTAGAATTAACATACTGCCGAGAAAGGGAAATCACATGAGTAAAGGCCAGCTAGGAAACACAATATAGGGACTGTTGTCTTGCAAGGGTTAAACTCATATATAAAATTTATTAATAAATCATTTTACTGGGGGCTCTTACAGCTCTTATAACAATCCATACTTCAATTGTATCAGACTCATTTGTACACATTATTTTCAAAACATGTTCTTTCTACTTGAGCTCTTGGTATTAGCTCCCCTTTTTTGCCTCCCTCCTGAACCTTCCCATCCTCATGACCCCTGGTAAATTATTATTATTTTAATGCTTTTTTCTTTTTTCCCATGCCATGTTGCCCCATTCATAATTCAAACCAGGCACAGGGCTTGGGTTGAGGAGTTTACAGGGCACGTACTTTGCTTCCGTTTTCTACAGTCAACGGAAGGGCATAGCCTGTGGTAGGTTCAAGGAGGCATATTTCAATGTTTTAAGCTGTCTACTGTCTCCCTCCTCCCACGTTTCTGTTGTTCGTCCCCCTGGGGGGTGGGTTATCTGTTGATCATTGTAGACAATCCCCCATTTCTCCCCCTTCTCCACCCCTCTTCCTCCCACCCTCATGGTATCGCTACTCCTATTACTCTTCCTGAGGGGTTTATCTGATCTAGGTTCCAAGTGTTAAAAGCTCTTATCCGCACCGGTGTACATGTTCAGGTCTAGCCAGATTTGTAAGGTAGAACTGTGGTCATGATGTGGCAAGGAGGAAGCATAAAAGAACTAGAGGAATGCTGTGTGTTTTGTCGGTGTTGTGTTGCATCCTGGCTGACTCGTTCCTTTCTTGTGACCCTTCTGTGAGGGAATGTCCAATTGTCTATAGATGGGCTTTGAGTCTCTTTTCTGACCTCCATCATTTGCATCAATATATTTGTTTGGGGCCTTCTGATGCCTGGTACCTGATCCTGTTGACACCTCATGCTCACACAGGCTGGTGTTCTTCTTCCATGTAGGCTTGTTGCTTCTCTGCTAGATGACCGCTTGTTTAACTTCAAGCCTTAAAGACTCCAGATGCTATATCTTTTACTAGCCAGGTAACATCAACTTTCTTCACCACATTTACTTATATACCCATGTTGACTTCAGTGATCATGTCGAGAAGGGGAGTATCACAGAATGTCAGGTTATTAGGATAAAATGTTTTTGCGTCGAAGGAGTACTTGAGTAGAGGTCCAATGTTCATCTGCTACCTTAATACTTAACATATAAATATATATACATAGATCTATTTCCCTATGAATATATTTATATATGTACATGTCTTTATTTGTACCTCTAAGAATGTCTTTTTTCTCTTAGTTTTTTCCTCTATTTCTTTTTGCTTTCCTCCTGTCCCCCTATCATGTTCACCTTCGTTCGACTCTCTGTACTTTCTCTCGGCTACATTGCACTTGACTAACCCCCTCCAGGCATTCTACGCCCTCCTCACCATCAATTTTAGGTCCCTTATTGTTCCCTTGTCCCTGGGTTTGTTGATTCCCCCTTCCTTTTCTCCCACATCCTCCTCTCCTGTGTATCCCTGTAGCCATAGGCCCCGTTGTTTTCTCCTTGGGATTGGTTGTCCTGCCTATCTTATATGGGTAGACATGAGAAACAAGAAAGAAAAAGGAAAAAAACAAACCCTACAAATAGTTCCAGGTCTGTCTGCTGGAGCAAGGGTTAAATTCTTAAGTGACTAGACACGATCCACACAAATAATGGGGGTTGGTGATAGGGCAAATCATCCAATAATATTCATTAACAGAAACAGAACCAAGCCTACCAGATTAGTGTATTAAAATAGCAAGCATATGTTAGTTTTGGGCCACCATTCCAAAGGCAACCTCAAGACAAGACATTCTAACCAAAGTCCAATATCAGTTAGTTCTATGCCCTTGGGCTAGTATTCATCGGCTTCTTCTCACATCAGGGGGTTTCAGCCTTAAGTCTAATGGGTATAGGTGAGTTTGAGGTAAAGCCTAGTTCACTCAGTAGGGTTTCCATATTGGGTACCTCTGACGTGGCTTATGAAGGATGCCATGAACCTAGAAAGAGCAGAGTGCACCAACTGGGTTACCAAGGGCTATTACATGGAAACTATGTGTCAAATCAGGAACTTAGTACCTGGTATAATCTCCCCTTGGGTTCCACACAAGCACCGGCTAGCACTTCCTCCAGTTGGGAGGATGCTCCGTGAGTTTTCCTACCAAAAGAGATGTAATTTCCCTCTCTGAGACACACATGCCCTCTTACACCCATCTTCACCCCATCTTGATTGGAACTTCCAGTAGGGCTTCCCCATCACTCTGGTGGAAGTATCCATTGGATTGGGGTGATTTTAGCACAATTTTGTGTGGCAGAAAGTGAACAATCTTATCCCTCTCCTTAGATTTTGAAAAACTGACCACAGCTGAAGTGAGGCCCTCTCGGTCCAAGTGGTTTCCAAGATGTATATCCATTCTTGGGCTGTTTCCAGCTCTTTGCTATTGTAAACTGCACTGGCATGGCCATGAGAGAGCAGATATCAATTTCTTTGTGGTATATATCCAGCATAGGTACTGCTGAATTGTACAGGGTTCTATTAAAGGTGGGGGCTGGCGGGGAGCAGTGGGATATTTCATGAAAAGAGCCCTCACCGTGGAAAACAATCGTGTTGGATGTAAGGAGAATGTTTGCATGTGCTAGAAGACATAATAACTGAATAGGAGGAGCGATCTTCAGCAACTTAAGAGTAGAAGACTGAATTTCGGCCCTTAGAAGAGAGCCCCGGAAGAGTCGAAACCATTGCAAATGGAAATGTGGTCCTCAGATGACTCGTTTCTTCTTGAATATGGGCGTAGAGATGGCTGATCTTCTAGTTATTCTTCTACCTTCCAGGACCCAACGGTCCTTCTTGCTAGGAGCATCCTCTTCACAATGAGAAATGCCACAAAGGTATGCTCAAGCAGGTTTCCCTGAGCTCAACACCTTTTTTCCCTTCTGAAAAAACCTTCACTAGTCAATCAGAAAAACATACATATGCCAAGTCTAACTCCTCAGTATTTAGCAAATAATCATCGAGGAGTTTTTACACGAGCTGTTTGCTGACCTACATCACCCACACTCTGCTTCTCTTCGAAGGGACAACTAATTCAATTTTGCCTGGCAGGGCACTGTAAGCTGCGGGGCTTTTTGAACAGCTGTGGAAAATAGCTACGACACTGATTCTTAAAATCCGTTTGGAAGATTAAATAGGGATTTCATGCAGTATTTCAAGCATTTGTAAGCAATTTCTCTCTAGATGCTTTTCAACCATTCTCTCTTATCATAATTCAGTTGTAGAATATCATCTCTACAGGGAAAAAAATAAATAAATAAAGTATCCTGGACAGAATCTCAATTTTTAAACTAAAAATGTGTTTTGAAACGGATTCTTAGCTCAAAGAAGATAACCAGTGGTCAGATTCAAATAATTGAACAAGTGGCTCGCTGCCCTTTAAGTATATGATTCTTTTAAGTATAAAACAGGATATACCAGAAGGTAGTGTATTAGCTCATACAGTTAATACTTAAATAAGAACAATAAATGAGGTACATGTTAAAAAAGAGTAAGGGATGTATATGAGGTGGGCAGCTGGCCCCCTTAGAAAGAGTCCTGATTACATGTGCCAGGACAGAAAATTAGCTACTTGTTCTGCCAAACCGTGTGAACCAGCGGGATCCCATCATGGAAGATAAGCCACACCTGTCCTGCTTTCTCCTGTCTATATCATTCGAGTTCAGAGACATTTTCTTGGAAAGATCTTTTATTACTTCTTTACTTAGAAATCCTATTCCTTGGAATATTTGGCGGAGGATTCCAAAGTAAGAATAATGATTTAGAATGTTCCCAGGAGGAGGATGAATTGAAGACTTTTCACTAAAATACAGAATCCTAGTCTGAGATATATTGTTACATCTATTACCAATCACAATGACTTGTTCTCCCTGATTCATGTTGACTTTTAAGATAGGCAAAGTAAGCTAGAGATCAGCAGATACCTTGTTGACCTCATCTTAAAATGAATTTCCTATTCAGAATTCCACGGCTTTTTCAGCATTTGGGCAAGTTAGATCAGCAAACATTTTTATGACTTCCTTTAAAAAATACTATATGATTTGTATGAGCCCCTAATAAAATGTTTAAAAAAAAAATACTATATGATTATAGCAGTGTAGCTTCAGTTTCTCAAGGATCATTGCTTATTTCTTCCATAAACTGTGAACCCCCTGACACTTAGTCCATTTGGACGCCCAGTGACCCTTTAGACACAGCAGAACTGCTCCTGTGGGTTCACGAGAATGTCCATCTTTATAGGAGCAGGCTTCCTTTGCCATGGAGAAGTATGCTTGTGGAATAACATAAGATGGGTCTGTCTAGCTAATAACAATAACACCGATAACAGCTAATATGGACTTTTCTCCCCGATGTATACCTTTCTTAGTCATTCTACATCTATAGTGAAGAAAATTGTTATTATTTTAATCATTTCATAGACCAGAACTAAAGTAAAAATGATCATGGATTGCATGAATTCAAAGAGTTCAGGAGTGTCTGTGACCAGATTCAAATCTGGGACAGAAGGTAGCGAAGCCTTCTTGCCTGTCCTGTAGAATACAGTTTTGCCCATGATCTTGTGCTGTCGTTGAAAACAAATTGTTTAGCACAGCAATCAAGAGTCCACAGACGTTAGCCAGATTCTATCACTTCAGTGCTCTGAGAGAAACCCTGAAATCTAGCCAAGAGTCCAGATTAAAGAGCAGAAAAAAAGTGTTCTAAAAAGACATTTCTATGCAAGCAAGTATCTGTGCATATGGTGTAAAGTTAGTGCATATGTATATATAAGGAAAATGAGTGTCATTAGGCAGTGCTTTCTCTTCAGTACTGTTAATTTTGTTGCTGCATGGGGTGATCGTTGTACTATTTTCTTCGCGCATAGCTAAGCCATTCTTCACTTTGATTTTCTAGGCACACAGCGCACCTCATAGATTTTGAGTCTATTATACATATTCCTAATTTGTGCTTTTGTGAAGGCCATTTTACTCATGTTTATGTCTACTGTTCCTCTTTGCTTCTGTGAAACTTCTCCAAACTCTGTAGTTCCCTCAAGTACCAAATTCTCTGATAATCTGAAGGAATCTTCGAACCAAATATGTATCTTTTGTTTTGTGATAATTTAAAACATCGAGAAGAATGATTCTTGTATAGTACTGACCCACATCCACTGATGGCTAACATTTTGCAATAGAAGCAGTCATTGTAGGTAACACAGAACGTTGTATACAGTTCTTACTTAGCTAATGTAATACAAGGAAATACTTGAATTCTTTTCAAAAAGTGAAGGTGATTATAAGCCATACAGTATTTCCTGGTTCTGTTCAAATTACTGTCTCTTGGTTCATATA